AAATTTCTTGGTGTGCTTCTTGACGAGAATTTATCATGGAACACTTACATAAATACCATTAATACAAAAATCTCAAAAAACATTGGTCTACTCTATAAAGCAAGAATTTATTTATCGTCCAAAAATTTAAAACTTCTTTATTTTTCCTTTATAAACAGCTATCTATCATACGCCAATATAGTATGGGCATGTACCCATAAAAATAAATTAAGTTCACTCTATAGACGGCAGTAATATATAACATGTTTATCTTATTCTAGTAACACAACTAATTATATTGAAAAATATAATAAGTAATGAATAAAATAGTTAAAAGTATCTCATGAATATATTTAAAAAAAGGATTCTCGATGACAAGACTTCACACAGTTTTCTGCGTGTTTTCCTTGACTACAAACTAAAGGTTTATTTTCCCTTTTTTAAGATTTATTCTGTCTTTTCAAAATATAAACTGTAAAACTATTTTACTTTATTTTATTAATTTGTTCATCAAATATATCTTAATATTATTTCAGTTATTTTTGAAGCATTTTGACTGTATTTAAAATAAAAGTATATATTGTTAAAACCATTTGTAATAAAAGTATGTATTGTTAAAACTATGTAGTTGAAAAAATATATGGAAAAAAAAAAAACTTACATCATGAAATGAAAATTAAATTTATATGAACTATATCAATTTTTATTTATTTATTTAATATAATTACTGGTAATCATATTAAATAGTTATGCGGCGTATATTAAAATTATTTTTTCGCTTTTTTTGCTTTTGTCACGATTACATCTGAAACAACGCACGCTTGAATGAATAAAAAAACAGATAAAGTGAGGGCAAGGTTTAGGGTGTTGATGGTCATGATTAGGGTCTGATCTTAGGCCATGGCTGTTCCATATAACCTGATAATACCTCTAAACCCTGATCTTTTTATCCCTAATTTACAATGTAACATAAATGTTATCAAATTGATATTAAACGAAAATATTATTAATAATAACATGATTAATAATAAATATTAAATACAAATGTTATTAAATGTTATTAAAAATCTCAGAGTTTCTTTTATTTTAAAATACAACTATATTTCCGTTAGAGATCGCATCGGTCAGTAAAATTTAGATTACACTTTGAAGGGTTGGATTTAGTGTTTTCCATACTTATGATACTTAGAGATGTTTCAATCATTGTTCAGACGTATTTGTGACAAGCACAAAAAAGCAAATAAATAATTTTAATATACGCCGCTTAACAAAAAGATTACCTATTTACTTTTTATTTATTTATTAATAATTTATATTATTTATTTTCATTTACTTAAAAAGTTATAATTAATTATAACTTTAAAAATAGAAAGACTGATTAAGATACAAATTTTTTTTTATCTATTGAAACAAAATAAAATGCAGAAAAATTTTTTTAAAAAAGGTATACATATATTTCTAGACTAGATATAATATTCTTCTTTGCAAGTATAAAAAACTCTATTTTGGTTCATTTCCGACAACATTTAAAGAAATTGGCGCGGAATGAATAACCGACGACCAAAAGAGCTTTTGAGATCTTTATAAGATTTGTAGTTTTTTTTCTAATTTATTTCTTAACAAGATCTTAATAAGATCTTAACAAGTTATTCAAAGAAATATTTCTGACAAAATTTATAAAGATACTATTAAGTTCTTACTAGTTTATGAAAGATAAGAAAGATCTTACAGATCTTAATAAGATATTAGAAAGATTCGTCTGAGTAGTTCATCAAATGTCATCATTATCATTCATAAAATTAATTTGTTCATTATTCTACTTTTTTGTTCTTTTTTCTCTATTCCCTTATGAAGCTCTATTTTTTCCTTCAACGTGTTCATGGCCTACTTAAATTACACGGCCTGATTTGTTGCATTTTCCGTAAAAAATTAAGAGGCCAGTTTTTTTACGGCTCAAGTATAAAAACTTAATTTTTGTTATGGTTAAGAGTCTTGTTTGCACCATAATTGTTTTATTTTTATTTTATTAAAATGGTTTAATAATAGTAAGATTTTCTTTGAGTACTTACATTAATTTGTTGCTAGATTTTCTGTTAACTGATTGCCTGCTTCAGTTTATTCCAACAACACAGAATACTGAAATAGGCTTCCAGATAACTATATCAACCAATACCAACATGCTACTTAAAATAATCTCTCATGTTGCTTAGATTGCCTAAAACTCTCCATTGAGCAAAAAAAAGTTTTGTAGTTTTGTATTTTTTATAATTGAAATAAAAAGAAGAAATACATTTTTGCTAGAAATGTTTATTTTGTCTTTTTTGGAATTCTTTTACTTGATCTTTTTTAAATGAATATGTAATTTTTTTTTGCAAATTACTATAAAAAATGTAATAATATTTTTTATATTAATTTGCAATACAATACGAGATCTATATTTGATTCCCATTTTTGGTGGTTTTTATTTGTAAAATTGAAACAGCTAGATCAAATCTTTAAAATTTGTTTCGCAAATTTTTAATTAAAAAAGAATGACTGCAATGTTTTATTAGAATAAGAGAAATAACATAAAATACTAAAAAGATGATAAAAAATTAGACAGGTTGAATTGAATATATAGGTTCTTCTCTTTATAAAGTAATGTTAATTGATCATAAGTTTAACATCAAAATCTTTTTGTTAATTTTTACCATTATTACTTGCTTTAGTATATATATTTGTGCTATCTTCAGAAAGCTGACAGTAGTATTTATGTAGACAACTAAGCAATATCTTGCGTAATAATTTTTAAGGATTATCAAAATTCTGGTAAATATTTTCTGGGAAAATCTGCCAAAATCTTTTTACTTATGCACATTTCTAAAAGGCTCACAAAAAGTCTACTATTGGGCATTTATACTTAATAAAACCTAGCTCCAAAGAATCTTTTTGTAAATTAACTATAAACAAATGTAAAGCCTTCTTCAAGGAAATCATACATAAGAAATACAAATGTGTGTAGTGTTGTAATTAGAGCACAAGAAGTTTGTTTGGTTGATGTCAGGTATTTATCAAATTTTATTTTGATCAAATTTCAGTACAATTTGCTATTTCTCTATAAAGTGTGGGTTTGTTATCACCTTTCAAAGCAGCATTGCTGAGTTTGATTAGATGAATTAAGTTTCTGCTTTGAATTAAGTATGATAAATAACTTCTAAAACAATGATAATTGTGCTGCGTTATTTCTTTCAGAAAAATAACTCTAAATTAGCAGTTGTAGCTGCAGTTGTTTTGTCAAATATTGTCGATGTTGACAACTTGTTTGTTGTTACCAAAATATGTGATTTGATAATTAATTTTTCTTGCTTTTTCTTGCTTGTTTAATAAGTGATCTTTTAATAAACTTTAAAAAATATATTCCCTACAATGTAATCAGCAGTAACTTCAACAAGAAGAAAAAAACAAAAACCGAGTTTATCAAATAACAAGTATATTTTAAACACACCCTTTCTAAACTAAATGATAAATTAATAATTTTCCATCTCCAGTATATGCTTTATGAAACTATAAAAATGCATTAACAATTGTAAAATGGTTATCGGTAACAATAGTTCTTATCTTAAATTCAGATTGGTGCATTGAGGTAATACACTTATCAATTTCTTTTTTCAAGCATAAACCTGTTATGTAAACTTTAGGTTATGATTTCAAAACATAAGAATAAATTTTTGAAGCCCTACAATCATAAAAACAAAAACAAATTCTTTATAAAGATTGTTTTCTCAATCTTCATCAAAATGTTTACCACTTTGGGCTGCTTTTTGAAAGTACACCTTACCCACAAGAAGCAAATAATCTCTTAATACCAAATTTTTGTCAATGATTTTTCTAATATATTATAGTTTTTCAATTTGTATTTTTTACCACTGCGAAACCATTTAAATAAAGAAGAATGATAACCATTTATTTGGCAATGAAAAAAATTAGAATTTTATTAACAGCTATTGACTCCAAAACAGTTGGTATGTCTGATATTTCTTGGCTACTGTAAATAAATAGCCTGATTTGTTACATTTTAATTGTTGTATGTTTGAGACATGCAGCATAATAAATGCAAAACCTTGTTTTGCAGTGTAAATAAATTAAAGAAAAGTTTATGTTTTCTACTTAATAATTGCAATTATAATAAATACAAAATTACAAACCTTTAAAATTATTTCCAATGGAGAGTTGTGGGTAGTTTTAGCAATATGTAAGATTATTTTTAGTAGCATGTTAATATGTGTTGATATAGCTATCTGAAAGCCTATTTCAGTATTCTTTTTTATTGAAATAAACTGAAGCAGGCAATCAGTTAACAGAAAATCTAGCACAAAATAATTTAAGTAATCAAAGAAAATCTAACTAATATTAAACCATTTTAATAAAATAAAAATAAAACAATTATAGTGCAAACAAGACTCTTAACCATAACAAAATTTATGTTTTTATACTTAAGCCGTAAAAAAAACTGGCCTCTTAATTTTTTACGGAAAATGCAACAAATCAGGCCGTGTAATTTAAGTAGGCCATGACGTGTTCAACTTAGAAACTAAATAACACTTAAGCTGTTTACATATTATTTTATATATTAAAAGTTTTTTCGTGCATAATTTTTTCGGATTTCCGAATTTTGATATAAGAACCATTGAGCAATATAGCCAATAAAGATCCCATATTTACATACAGGATCTTTATAGGCTATATTGTTGTTTATTAAACTTGTGTTTTCTTTCAGCTTCAATTTACCATTAAAGACAAACATAAAAAAATTGCTGTATAAACGAAAGCGCCAAAGTTCATGTATTAGGTGATAAAAAATATCATATGCGTACCTGAGCACCCCTGCGAGTAGCTTAGCTTCACTGCAGCAATAAACCTCAGCTTCACTGCACCAATAAAAATATATTTTTTAAAAGGTTTTTACCAATCTATTTTTTTAAAATAAAAAAATAAATATTTTCTCGTTACTTTATTTATAATTGTACTATATAAAAAAAAAGTGAAACAACAAGATACTATCCTACTTAATAGAAATGTTTAAATACAATTTTTTTCATAAACAGTAGACAAAAGTTAACTTTCGTTTTTCTTATGCTCGATGTTGTTTAACATAGCTTTGTAAACAATATTGTTAATCTCGTGTTTGACAATGCATTTTTGATCGTCATTTAGTTTGCGTAACTGTGTGAGCAACATGGTCGTAAATAAATCGTCTTCGTCATTTATCACTTTTCCTTGATAACAAGCTCCAGTGTCATTACTCGCAGTATTGGAATAGGCAAGTGGAAAAGATGAGGCCTGAAGCGGAGAACTGAACTGAGTTTTATTGTTTCGCGCTATTTTTGTTGGGGTTGAACCTTTAAACAAATCGGTCTGTCGTTTACCAATGTAAGAAATGCTAGATGTATGTCTTGAAGCTAAATTAGTTTCGTCATTGTTAGAGTCACTAGTTTCTTCACTTTGGTCAGCATGTAGAACTTTGTTAGGTAAAAACGTTCCTTTAATAGAACGAAATCTGATATAGGGTTCCAACCAATGCATGAAGTTGTAGGATAAAAAATCTTCTTGAGTTTTCTTGATAACATTTTCTGAATACGATTGGTGGTGTGCTTTTTTGAAATTAACTTTCTTTCTACTATATCGCTTTTTCAATGTTTCGAAAAGTCGGCAAGCATCATCTCCTAATTTTAAGTACAAAACCAAATATTTTATTTTAAAATAAATATAAATAAATATATTTTTAAAAAATAAAAAAAAAAGGATTAAGATAAACAACAACGGTTGAGTCAATGAAAATGAAAATGAGTAAATGATTCTATTTACTTCGGTTATGACATATTGAATATTTAAATTATGTCATACGCAGTGATTGGTCCCGGCATAGTTTATGCAATTGGTTAGACTTACAACTCAGCTTATTTTTAAATCGGAGACACGGCACTATATATAGTTTCAAAGCTTAAATGTAAACTATTTCAAAGTAATGTAAAATCGCCTCCATTAAAAATTAAGATTTTAACGTGTAATGATGTTACTTTTGTTTGACAAAACATCTTCCTTACATTTTAAATTTTCTTTAGGAAACAAATTTGATTGGTTTTTTTTAATATTGAAGTTGCTTCGAAAAGTATTTTTTGAACCATTTTGCCACTGAAATTTAGAGAGATTCTCTAAAATGCAGCGATTCTCTAAAATGCAATGATTCTCTAATTTGGAAATTATGATGTAAACGTAGTAATTATAAATTAAATTAAAGTCAAATGATACTTTAACACTTATAATTTAACTTTATGCTTTGTATCTATGACGGTTTATTTGACTTGGATGATAAGTCCATACAGCCTTTGTATTTCTCTCAATAATAAAACCCTGCTTTGATGAATCAGAAATACTTATCTAAAATGAACTCTATTTATATCAAAGAAAAATATAGGGTTTCAGATAGTATTTGAACCATAATATAAAATAACTCTCAGTAATTAGTATTAGCATTTTTAAACTACCAAAAAAAAAATTTCAGCACTATCTTACCGCATCGCAAGTTTATTAATCCAGCGACGTAATTCCAAGCATTTTGTCTTGCTTCACTGTTTTTATAGTCGACATGTTTATTATCGTACAAACACGGGAAATTTTTAACTGCATTTGCCAATAACTCATCCTGTTCCACAGATCGATGTTTTATAAACGATGATTCGCATTTTACTTCATTGTGATTTTCTTCGCTTGTTATGTCTGAAACAGTACTTACAAATTCTAAAATGTTTTTATGTTGAGGTTCCATACGGCGCAATACAAATATAATCGTCTATAATCACAAGTAATGTTGTATTTCTTATCTTCAAAAAAATATTACAAATTCCTTTATATTTCTAAGCGCGGAGTTCAGCATAAAAGACGTTTACATAATCTCATCTCGTGATAACTTTTTCCTTCAAATATTCTTTTGTTGATCGTTCAAAGCTGAGCAAACAACTAACGATTATATTATTGGATTAAGTAACCTGGTTTTTACAAATAACAATTTTTTTATAGAAACAGCTTTTAGTCAACTTAACTGTATAGAATACATTAAAAATTAGAAGAAGAAAAAAGGGAATATAAAAACATTCAGAAATAAAGTTGCATTCAGAATTAAAAACTTGCTGATCAAGCATGAATATTCTGATATATTAGAACTCTCTTTATTAGAATTGAATTTCAGAAATAACATTTGCGTGCACTAATACTTGTTTTTTTTCGTTACAATTATTAGCGTGGTTTGCGGCTGGTTTCTACTAACTTTTATTTTTAGAACTAAAAACACAAAAGACGTCAAAGTTATTTCTTTCATAAAAGAAATTTAAAAAATAATGAAAAAGAAAACTAGCAAAGATATACAAGTAATCAGACAAAAAAAATAATTTAGACGCCATGAAAGTTAAGTTTTCATAAAATTTTTTAATGTAAAATAACGCATATAATAAAAATTACATTTTTTTTACACGCGTAATTTGGATGTTTTAAAATGTAAGAATTTATCTTTGTATATTGTTATTACTCACGTTATTTAATACCTGCGTTACTTTACGAAACTTGTAAAGTGATGCGAAAATCAATAAAAATATCAACTAGCAAGATCATATTGGCCACACTTACAAAGATCTCAGCAAATGTTTTATACGAAAACTAATCAATTTTTGAAAACGTTATGTTTTGATATTGTATAATAACAATTTAAACAAAGTTATCTTTTGAAAGTTATCAATTAAAACCTAAAAAAACACGTTTATTTTATTATAAAAATAATAAATGGTTTTTAGTGGATAGTTTTTAAATGTGCGCCAAAATGAATGTAAAATAAGATATGGCTATTTGCCAGGGCCAACCCGATAGGGGCGTAGGGAGGTGTGACACTAGAGTAGGTATAATTGGATCTATAGTTGGCAGTCGGCATCAAGGCATCAAGCATCAGTCCGCATCAAGGCCTTTTTTTTTTTTTTTAAAGATGTGTTAGTCGGGCGAAAAATTTAGTAATGTATATTTTTTATCCCAGTTGGCAAAAAACAGATACGTCACACTCCCCCCCCCCCCATTAAAATTTCTTCGGGACGGCCCTGTTAGTTGCTGTTAATGCTCTCTCGCCACGGTCTATAACTTTATAGGGGATATAAATTTATGACACTTTTGTTAGAAGAAAGGTGTGGTAAGGTGCTTTATGGTTACCTTTAAAATTGCCAAAACAAAAATCACCTTTAAGATATTTTTTTTAAATTGAATAAATTGAATTTTATTAAATTCGTTTTTTAATAACACCGTTTTTTTTTATCTTTTTTTCTTTTCTTGTTGTACCTGATTACATTTGTCGTTGTTTACAAACTAACTAGGCTTCTGAAAGAAGATCATAACGATATTATAGTTAGAACCTTTTACAAGTTAAAAACTTTTAATAAATCGTGTTATAAATTGAAAATATAAATGTAAAAAAGATCCCTAATGTTATGTATAATAAAAAAAAGTTTGATCTTATCATTATTAGATAATGTAATACGATAAAAAAAATATCGCAAATACAATATATAGTGTATATACATATGTGTGTGAGTATATACATATATACACATGTATGTGTGTGTCTGAGAAAACCACGCAAAAGTCATTCAATCACATTTTTTATATAGAAATGTTGATAGAGTAAAAAAAAAACTTGTAAAATTTAATTTAATTTAATGTTTGTAGTTTCTGAGTTATTGCCGGTCAAACTTTTGACCTTTTAACACTTAAAAAGTCATTAGTGGGATTTTGTAATTTTTAAATTAAATTTAAAGGTAAGAAGACAACTGCATCCAAACCATCTCTTTATTTTTTATAGACCAAAAGTCAACAAGAATAATAGCTATAACATGATTTACCAAAAGTTAATTCAAATTAGGAATGAGTTAGACAAAAAAATTAAAATGCTTATAAAAGTTGAAAATTTACTTGAAAATCATACTATTTCTGGTTCTCAAACAGAATCTACATCTTTTCAGTTAAACTCATCTAACAGCAAGTGAAAATGTTGCAAGATTTCATCTTGGTGGTAGAAATACACCAATTTTTATTTTAGGGAAGAATAGGTAGAACTTTCAAAAAAAAATAATCAAAAAAACTGAAAAACACTTCTCCTTAATTTAAAATTCATAAGCTGAAATAATACGTTTTTAGTTTTGGACCCCACTTCAAATATGTTTACAATACATAAAAGGTTCCCCCAAGGTATGTTATTATATCCTATTTTAGTTTTAATTTTTTTTAAAAAAATTATAGGGGTATTGCTTAATCTCAATATGTCATTGTTTTAGTCAGTGGCGTAGATAAGATTTTTTGATGCTTTAGAAATGACAATTTCAAGCATTATGCAAACTCCAACTTAGTTATATCATATGTTATAGACCTATCTCCCTCATATGTACTAGCTGTCATGTCATGGATAGTATTTTTAGTTCAAGTATTGCTAATTATCTTAATATAAATAATCTAATAACACCTAATCAATATGGCTTTTTATTCAAAAGATCTACGTGCACAAATCTTCTAAGAGTCAACTAATGACTGGAATAAAGCTTTATATAGCAATTTAATTACTAACGTGGTGCACATTGATTTTTAAAAAGCATTTGACTCTGTACCTAATCCAAAACTTTTGAAAAAACTTGTAATGTACGTCATATAAAGTAACTTGCTTCATTGGATACCAGCATTTCTTTCCAAAGGCTTCAGTTTGAAAATTCACTAGCCAATTCGACTAGCATCCTTAGTGAAGTTCCACAGCGTTTTGGGTCCAACGTTATTCTTCTTATATATTAATGATCTACTCTCTATAGTAAAATATCTTAATTGCTCTCTAATGTTATATGCTGACGATATCAAGCCATATAGTTCATTTAAAGATGTTGATTACAGTTACAATCTTGCGTTGCCATTTATAAAGTTTATCTCTCGTCAAAATAATGGCAATTAAAAGTAGCCAATAATAAGTGTTTTACTCATAGAATAGCATCTACTTCATTTTGTAAAGATATAATATACAACTTTCAAATTAGGGGATCATAATTTAACCTGGTGTACAAACCCAAAAGATCTTGGTGTGACCGTGGATTCTTGCTTAAATTACAATAATCATATTTCAAATATCATCCGCACAACAAACATTCGAGGATATCTAATCCTCAAGTGTTTTAAAAGTCGCGATCCACGTGTTATCGTAAAAGGCGCAATCGGAAAGGCGCAATCGGAAAGTTAAGAAACCCTCTAAAAGCAACTTTAATGGCGCAATCTGATTCGCTGTTTTTAAAGAGAGGCAACTCTGGAAAAACTTTCAAATAAAATTATGTGGACGTTTAAGTTTTGTTAATTGTTTACCTTTTGGTTAATATTTATTGTATATTTTAATGACTAGCGGTAATTGCCGGCAGTGCCGGCAAATAATTCTGAGATTAATTGCCGGCAGGGAGTATTGAAGTATCAAATTTTAATTATTGTAAGTAAACAAGTAGCAAAAATCAAAGTAAACAAACTACATATGAGAAATTAATGCCGGCAAATAATTCTAAGATTGATTGCTGGCAGTACAAAAAAAACATGAAATAATGTATATTTGATGGCCAAGAATGACCTTTTATTTTTATTTTTTTATTTTTAGTTTAAAAAAAATTAATATGGAATAAAATATATAGTAAGAAAATATTAGAGAAAAAAGAAAGAAAATCTAACGGAACTATAGCGTTTAGATTATCTATCTACAGTACAATTAAAGGTAATAACCCAGTTATAGAATAGGAATTCTCTATTGGCAGTGCAATTAGGGCTGTGATAACTACTAGCATAACAATTTCAGAGTATGATTTATCTATGGGAGAACTACTTGAGTAACAATTGTTAATAACCTAGTCATAGGGTGGGAGTTATCTATCTGCAGTGTAATTAATGATAATAACCCAGTTATAAAGTATGAGTTATCTATTGGCAGTGCAGTTATTGTTAATAACCCAGGCATAGGGTGGGAATTATCTATCGGCAGTGCAATTACTGCTGAGAGAATTGCTAGTATACCAATCTCAGAGTATAATTTATCTATCGGCACTGCAAACAAGCAATATTAAACCTGCTACCAATGTATTTACGAAGTTTGATTTGCAAGGCCGTAGACATCTTTTTTTGATGTTTCAGTTAAGCAACTTCGAAACTTAAAGAAAACTCCATTTTTAAGTATGTTCATATATATGAGGAACGAGGATGCTATGCAAAAAATTGCGGGGATTGGAGATTGGGAACAATAAAAACCCCGAAACGTTAGCCACCCCCCCAGTCCCAAATACGAGGGTAATAAGTCAAATTTGTTATCTTTATTTTAATCTTAAACTTAACTTGTATTTATCAACGAATTTCAAATTTGATTCAATAATATTTTTTTGATCGGCTTTTATGACCTTATGAAATTTAAAGTTTACATCCCCTCAATTTGAGGGGGATGTAAACTTTAAAATATTGTAAAAGCCGAACAAAAAGAGATTAATAAATAAAATTTGAAATTTGTCGATGAATAAAAATTAAATTTAAGAATAAAATAAAAATAACAAGTTTGACTCATTGTCCTCCTATTTGGGGCTGAGGGGGCTAACGTTTTGGGTTTTTTGTTGTTCCCAGTCTCCAATCACCGCAATTTTTTGCATATCATCCTCATTCCTCATATATATGAACATACTTGAATATGGAGTTTTCTTCATGTTTTAAAGTTGATTAGCTCAGTCATAAAAAAAAGTTGTCAAAGGCCTTGTCTTCCGGCTGCAATTCATTTGCCAATTTACTTATAAATTGGCAAATAAATTCGATTTATCTACCGGTAAACTGATAATACAACAGGTAAATGATATAGAATTTTTTATTATTGATCAAAAATTACTATTCATAAAAAAACTAAATATTAAATACTAATACTA